ATTAACTGGGGGCGAGAGCTCCTCGAGTGTGTTGGTGGGGAAAGCGTAAATAGTTCGGCAGCCTTGGGGTTTGCCAGATGGGGAAGATGTGATGTGGCCTGTCAGACTGAGATAGAAAGCGATTCGGCTTGCGCACCTCGAGAGGAGGGGCAGCCAGATTTTGGAATCGCTAGGCATATAGAGGGACGGCCCACTCGGGATGAGTGGGATAGGTTACTGGATGATTTTCAAACTATTTTGAATGACCCCGTCCGATCCGTCTATGCTATGGCCGCCCAACCCCAGGTACAGCCCCTCACCGATGAGGAGTTGGCTCAACAAGGGCTGAAGGTCCCTGGTGGAGGACAGATTCGGTCGTTTGCTCCAACTCAGCTGCCAACGGGTGCTATTCTGACCGCCCCAGATAAGTGGCCTCCTCCTGGTTGTGATATGAACGAGCTCGACGACGACGATATTGCGGGTGCAATGCGTTTTGCCATTCCAGACTTCCGTGCCGAGGAGAGACAGCTCCCTGAGATTGATAGAGGAAGGCCCGAGCTCAGGCCTTTCCAGGCACTCTGCGAAAAGTTTGGTCAGCTATTTTCCCTTCGGCCCGGACAATGCGATAAGGTACAGCACCGGGTGAATACCCATGACGACACCCCGGTGGTGGAGCGAGTCCGGCCCGTACCCCATAAGTGGCGGGAAGATATTGAGGCTCAGCTTCGGGAGATGGAGGAACTCGGGGTCATCAAAAGGTCTACCTCAGCCTGGCGATTCCCCTGTGTTTATGCCCCTAAGAAGAATGGGAAGGTTCGCATGTGTGTAGACTACCGCAGGTTGAATCAGGCCTGTCACACAGAAGCGTATCCGGTACCGAGGCCTGACGACGTCCAGGAGCACCTTTGTCATGCCAGAGTGCTCTCTACCCTAGATCTGCGTAGTGGGTATTGGCAACTTCCGGTGCGGCCCGAGGATCAGCACAAAACGGCTTTTTGCCCAGGGCCTGGGTTCCCTTTGTATGAATGGTGTCGCATGCCGTTCGGCCTGGCTTCGGCCCCGGCCACCTTTTAAAGGTTAATGGATATGGTATTAGGACACCTGCCGTATATTTGCGTGTACCTAGACGATGTTCTCGTGTTCAGCCGGAGTTACGAGGAGCATTTACGGCATCTGGAAGAAGTGTTCCGCTTACTTGAGGAAGCTAACCTGACGATCGCCGGAGACAAGTGTGAGATCGGCCGTTCGGAGGTTACCTATCTTGGGCACGTCTTCAATGATAAGGGTATGAGCCCGGATGCGGCAAAGGTCGAAGCAATACTTCGTTGGCCTGTTCCTACAACGGCCAGCGAACTGAGGTCGTTTGTCGGCCTGGCTGGGTATTATCGACATTTTGTTAGCCATTTCTCTTCGGTGGTGAGGCCTCTATATGCCTTGGAGCCCGCCTGTTAGAAAGAAAAGAGTAACAGCCTCTTGGGTAAGTGGAAGAAGAGCACGATACGGCTTT